TTACAGGATGAAGATTCACATTTACATCTCCAGCTTCTGAGCTTGTGTCTGGGAGCCTATGTACTATCTCTACTTAAACGTTTCACAGATACCTCAAATCTAACTATTCCAAACTGAATTTATCATTTCCTCTTAAATCTTTTACCCTTTTCTATTCCTTATCTCTGAAAAGGCAACACCATTCTCCCATCTGCTTCAGCAAGTGACCTGGAAATTCATCTTGATTCTACTCCTTTACTCTCCCTCTGCAAGTCCTCTTGATTCTACCTCTCAGGTATCTTTTGACTCTTCATTCTCATTTCCATCACCTGATACAAGTTTATGCTACCACCATCTCTATCTCGGACACCTTAAAAGCAACATCCTCGGCCGGGCGCGGTGGTTCATGCCTGTGATCCTAGCACATAGGGAGGCCAAGGCAGCAGATTGCCTGAGCTCAGGCGTTCGAGACCAGCTTGGGCAACACAGTGAAACCCTGTGTGTACTAAAATTAAAAAAAAAAAAAAATAGCTGGGCATGGCAGCTCGCCTGTCGTCCCAGCTACTCTGGAGGCTGAGGCAGAAGAATCACTTGAACCCGGGAGGCACACGTTGCAGTGAGCCAAGATCATGCCATTGCACTCCAGCCTGGGCATCAGAGCGAGACTCCATCCCCCGCCCGACCACAAAAAAAAGCAACATCCTCCCAACTGCTTCCCTGGTTCTTTTCCCACCAACATGCCCTCTACGTTGCTACCAGAGTGATCTAATGCAAACCTTTAATGCCTCCCCACTGCCTACAGGATGAGCTCAAACTCCCCAACGATGTAAGTTACGAGGCCCTGCCTCATGTGATCTCTAACTCCTCACACTCTCACTATGCTCCACGTCCCTGCATCTGATGCTCCAGAAATACTGAACTACCTGTAGCATTCTGCTCACATCACACTTCAGAACTTTTGTATAATGAGCTCTTCTTTCTGCATGGGATGGTCTCACTTATTGCCTGTCTGTACACACACTCCTTTTCAGCCTGCAGAACCTGCCCAGTCTTTGCCATTTTTGAGTATTTCTTACTCCTAATTTTTCTGGAACAGAATGAATCTTGACTTCTTCTGAGTTACATCTCTGAACTTTATACATGTTTAAACAACCTATGTACCTGCGTTTCTCTGTAACTGAGTGAACACCTTTTCACAGGGAAAGGAAATATGTCTTCATCACAACAGCATCCACCACATTGCCTTACAGATAACAACACTCAATCAATGTTGAACTAAAGTTCTGCTTGTCTTGGATGAAGAAAACCACTTCACATGGTTTAATATATGGCATTTGGGGAAAATTATTTCAAGTGATAAAAATAAAGATTTTGTTAAGCAATGATATTGCTATGTCATATATTTAGATGTTAATAAAAATTAATCTAAGACAATCCCATAAAAACATAAAAGTTAATTACTGCACTCAAGCTACACCTTATTACCTTAGAAGAGGCATATTTTGACTTTTTAAAATCATCATTTATAGTTTATGATTATATCTTATCTCCCCATCTCTAACATACACCAAAAATCTATCCCCTTGGTGTCATTGCTAAACTAAACTGCAGCTCCAGGCCACCCTCGTATCTCATCTGAACTATTGCAAAAGCCACCCGACAGGTCTTCTCCAGATAGCAGCTATTGTGCTCCTTTTTAAATATATGAATACATCAGATCATGTCACTTCCCTGTTACAAAACCTCTAATTGCCTCCCATTGCACCAGAATATTTAAACTCCTTACCATGGGCTGCCTGGTCCTAAAGGGCCTACCCTTCTGCACCCACCCTACCCCTTCCACACCCACCCTACCCCTTCCACACTACTCCTGCCTCACTAGCTCTTAGCATTCCTCGATGGGGTTAGCATCCTAGAGCCTCTGCACCTGTCCCCTCCACCGCCACAGCGCTGCATGGCACTCTTCTGTCATTCAGATCTCAGTCCAAATGGCATCTCCTTAAAGGGGCCCCCTTTCCCACCCAGTGTAAAGCAGCTCACAGACACACAGCATCACACCACCCTGTTCTGTTTTCTCTTCTTCTTTTTTTTTTTTTTATTTTGGAAACTCAGTTTCGCTCTTGTTGCCCAGGCTGGAGTGCAATGGCGTGACCTCAGCTCACTGCAACCTCCTCCTCCTGGGTTCAAGCGATTCTCCTGTCTCAGCCTCCCAAGTAGCTGGGATTACAGGCATTCACCATCATGCCTGGCTAATTTCCTATTTTTAGTAGAGACAGGGTTTCTTTCTGTTGGTCAGGCTGGTTTCGAACTTCCGACCTCTGGTGATCCACCTGCCTCGGCCTCCCAAATGCTGGGATTACATGCATGAGCCACCGTGCCCCGCCTGTTTCCTCTTCGTGTTTAACCACTTAGCAGTAGAGCTGAGTGGTAAAGCACATGAGCACTAGGCTCAGACTCTGGGCTCTCATACCAGCAGGATGGCTTGCGCAAAGCACTTCATCTTTCAATGCCTATTTTTAGACCAACAATGACACCTACTTTGTAGAATTGTTATGAAGCTCAATTAGTTAGTATATTCAAAGTGCTTACTACAGAATTACCTCATAGCAAGCCTAATTAATGCATATTACCGATTAATCTTTGTTTGTTTATTGTTCGGTGCCCTCTTCTGCATCTTCCTTACATTCTTCCCTGAGCCCCCCACTCTCCAAGCATGTAAAACTAAAGAGTAGAGACCTCACAGTCTGCCTGCCACAACTTCTTTATTTCCCAATGTGGACCAGGTATGTTTGTTGAATGAATAAAGTATTTAAAACAAGTGAGGAAGGCATTTATGTTTATCTCAAATTAGTCTCATTAAACAAAACCTCTCAGCCACAGAGACTCAGATTTCTGAGCTGAGAATTACTGCAGTTTCTTTATTCTTTCTTAGCTTCTATCTCTTAGTGTACTGCTTAAGGGAAGCCGCACTTCACTGAAAGGCAGAAATAAATATTGCTACTATTGCTTACAACCCAGAGGAATATGAACAAACCTGGCTGTGCTAATCCTCGAAAGACTCATGTATTAACACTGAACGTGTTACTGCTGGTGGAAGAGGGAAGGCTGAGTTAGGTGTGGTGGTTTTCGAATTTGCTTGTTTGTTTTTAGTTCTGTTTGGTTTGGTCATTAGTTCTAAGATCTGTGTTTTTGTAAACATATAGTCAAAATCTAGGAGAAAAATATTGTCAACAAGGTAAAACTTTTATTTTGCAGATTTCTTGAAAGCAAGTAGTGTAACTAAATCCAGTAGTCAGCTTGGTTTGTATCTCCAGGATTATTTCTAATCACCCATAAAGATTAGCTTCTAGCCAGGCATGATGATTCACACCTGTAATACCAGCAGTTTGGGAGGCCCAGGTGGGTGGATCACCTGAGGTCAGGAATTCAAGACCACCCTGGCCAATATGGTGAAATCCCGTCTCTACTAAAAATACAAAAACTAGCCAGGTGTGGTGGCAGGCACCTGTAATCCCAGCTACTCTGGAGACAAAGGCAGGAGAATCACTTGAACCGGGGAGGCAGAGGTTGCAGTGAGGCAAGATTGCGCCATTGTATTCAAGCCTGGGCAACAAGAGCAAGACTTCATCTGAAAAAACAAACAAACAAACAAACAAAAAACACCCAAAAACAAAAAACAGGCTAGCTTCTAATTTTCTATACATATACTCACACACAAACATACACATCCCTATCTGTTTAGGGTTATAAGCTCGACCAGTAACGCGCGCACGAGAGACAGAGAGAGAGAGAGAGAGAGAGAGAGAGAGAGAGAGAGAGAGAGAACTTGCTTGAAATACCATGAAAGTGTGCTCTTGTTGTTTTCCTCCAGCTTTGAAGAGAAAGGCAACTTTTTCCTAAAAATCTCATTATCAGGCCCAAATTTACGGTTATTTTACTGCTGTTGATTAAATTGGAATTACTATCTTCAGATGCATAATTATATATAGCAGGTGTTTTACGACCTTCATCAGTAAGTTTGGAGTTGTCATCTACCTCTTTCCTGCAACGGGGCTTCTAAATGTTTTCCTTCTGGATTTCTGGCTGAAATTTTGCTAGTCAAGTTTTCTCTCTCCTATCGGTACTCACCCACCCCTCCTCACCCGCAGTCATTAACAGCAAGTCTGGATTTAAATGTATTTCTGCTACCACTGACCCACTGAAAGAATTTTTTCAGGTGATATCTACAAGTCTCTCCAATTAAAAATTTATTATTTTTTCCCTTTGTAGTAATTTGTGGAGAGTTCTTCTGATAAAGAACCAAAATTCTGTGTCAAATTTTTACCCTCTAGTTTCAGCATTCATTGATGATTTTCTATGTTTATTAGTTGGCATCCTATTGCAAGAAAAGCCTTTCTTCTTTCCTCATTTATTTATATTAATATCGATTGCTGGGTTTTATTTTAATCAACGGCTTATAATCCATTATGATGATTTATACCGATGGCAAAATTATCGCAGCTTTAGCCACTGGGAGAGACTTCAAGCTGACAGCGGCGGACCTTTGACCAGTTCCCGTCATTTTTAAAGCACTTCCGCGTCTCTGGCACAACTGATCGCGCCCCAGCCCTGGTATCCGTCTTTTCTCCAGAGGTGGTGTCAGAAAGCCGTGGTTCCTGTTCTTGGCGCGTGGGATTTAGAAACCAAGGACTGGGTGCTAGATGTACCACTGGCCTTTCATTGCTTGAGCCAGAAGAGTTTCATATCTTCTTTTGCCATGTATCAGCTAGAACGTACAAACCACTCCAAGCGTGGCTCCAGAAAACGGAATTTTTATCACCTTTCTCAATACCCTGAGGCAGAACGACCCACGTGCGTTGGCCAGAGACGCACCACACTGAAACTCTCTTCCGCTTGAGACCCTCTAGGAGGAAAGTGCACGCGTGTGGCGATGCGTGTGTTGCAGGCGTGGATTGCATCCTCACACGCGTGCAATACGAGCCAGTGTCCTGCAGAGTCCGCTGTGCTCCGGCCCGCGCAGCACGGAGCTTCCTCGAACCCGGAGTGGCTGCCACGCTTTGCAAGGACACCGTAGAGGGGCATGTCCGCGCTGCGACTTCCTCCCGACGCCGCCTCTGATTGGCTCCTGGGCTTATAAGACACGCGTGGGTGAGCAGCTGCCGCGGGCAGAAACTTGCCGGAGGTCTCCGGGTGGCAGCGCGCTGTCCTCCTCGCCAGCCCGCGCGCGCCCAGCCGAGGGCGCGGGGCAAAGATGAGGTCATCGTGCGTCCTGCTTGCGGCCCTGGTGGCGCTGGCCGCCTATTACATCTACATCCCGCTGCCCAGCTCCGTGTCCGACCCCTGGAAGCTGATGCTGCTGGACGCCACTTTCCGGGGTGCACAGCAAGTGGTGAGGTGCAGCCCAGCGCGGCTTCTCCCTTCCTCCTCTTACGCAATACTTGAAGGGGGTGCAAAATGTCTCCGCCGGGTTCCACGAAAACGCAGGTTTTTCCTAATGCAGCGAGGCTGCCACTCTTTACGGTGGTCCGGTCGGGCATTTTCAGGGTACCGCGTTCGCGTCCTTGCTAGCAGCGGGCAAGAGCTGCCTTTCCTCGTCTGTGTTTGTGACGTGGGAGAAGTGCTGGGATAGAATTTGACAACTGCTTAAACTGTCGTCGGTCCTAAGTATCTTCCTCCTCCTTGGTTTGCAACGTCAAAAGGCGTTTTATAAATCCACGTTTTATAAGTCACCCTTCCCCACACTGTCATTCTCCCATAGGGGCCGGCAGAGAGTGAGTTAAGTGCTTTTAGGAGTGCTCGGAAAAAGCAGGCTCTGGTTCCTGGGAATGCAGCCACCTTAGAAGCGAAGCAGGCTAGGGCGGTCTCCCAGTGTCCCCAGGCTGTGGAGCGCTCCCTTCCCGAGCCCGCAGGCAGGCTCCCCATCCAAGCACGTAAGGAACCAGAGGTATCTTGCACCCGAGGCAGATTTCAGCTCAGCCCTGGAAACGGGACTGGGAAGCTGGGCTGGCTGAAAGGTGAGGAGGCGGCAGCCCGTGTTTTCATGATGCGTGTTTTCTGCTTGCCCTGCAGCATTTATTATGTCCTTGGCTGTCAGATAGACTTCTCCTGAGCCAGGTTACTTTCCTTCACCTGGGAGGGTAACATTTCTCTCCACTGTATCTTGGGCGTGTGTTCATTCCTTCCATAGACAGGAAAATGTAACTGTCTGGTTTATTCCACGGAAGGGGCATTATTTTTAGTGTCAGAGAATCTAAACTACAGTCTGCAGCCAAGGCTGAGCCCTCTGATTGGACGGTATTTCTGAGCAGGCTGCTCGATCTAAACTCTAACCTTCTCCAAAAGCAAGCCTCCTCCATTACCCCAACCTTGGGCTTTAATCTCAGAATATTTTTTATAAACTCCTTCTTTCAGAAATGACAACTAGAGAAAGAGAAAAAAATCATTTCAACCTGAGAAAGCTGATTGTATAAAATCATCAGTTTTCCTGGCGGGTTTGTATTCCTGTTTCCTGTCCACTCATTTATGTGTAGGATTACATAATCTGCGGGGCTTTATCCTAGCAAAAGTCCCTTACTAGGGTATTGTAAGCTATTGTAGCACATTCTTAGCATGGATTTGCTTTTCTTGAATTCAGCCACATTCTCACCTCCAAAGCCCCTTTTGTTTCTCAGGAAAGGTCTGTGAAGCTATAGACCCGCCCCCCGCCCCCCGCCCATCACCTTCCTTTCCTCCTGCTTCCTGTATTGTTGACATGGTGAAAATGATCATCCCCTTCTTTAGCACTGATGTCGGGAAAGTCGGTTTTGATGTAGGAAGCCCTGCAATCCCTCTCTTCCCCCATGAAATTATGTAATTTGAGAGTAATGTCCTTCAAAGATCGAGGAACAGTGATGTTTCCCCGGGTGGGTTAATGGTCTTCTACAATAACTTAAACATAGGAAAACAGGGAAAAGATCAAACAGCTATGTTAGCTGCAGAAATTATTCTTAGTTTTCAGGTCGCCAAAGAAGTCTTCTCCATCATAAGTAATCTAGGACAAGCTAGGTTTGGAGAAAAGCCTTTCTTTCCCTGCTAGGCTTGCCAGCCCCATCAATGACAAGGCAGTGTGAGGTCCTCCACAGAGTATGCCCTCCAGTGGTGCTTGGGAATGATGGTGGGTGTAACCTGAAGTCAGCAGTAGATGAGTCACCTGACACTGTGGCTCATGAGTGGATTTGCAGAGAAATGGCTCTCATCAATTCTCTTCTAAATTGTGAAATAGCAGAAAGATCGTTATGGTCAGACGGAAACATATTCTACTTAATAAAGTGATTTACCAGTGTCACCTCAAATCTTCCTGAGTTTTCCCTGTAAAATAGGGCAAATAACTACCTTGTAGGTTTGCTGTAAGGCTTAGTAATGTATATGAGTGCCTGGTTCTTGTAGTTAGTCTTCAGGTTGTCACCAAGGGTCCATTGTGGGAACATCTATAAGAATGCTCACCTTTTTTGAAGCAATAAAATAAGTATAAACTGGAGGTAATTTATGTAATTGAAACCTGGAGCACTGCTACTAAATTGCGTGGTGTCAATCTCATTACTCAACTAATTTTAGTTTGAGTTGATTGGCTCAATTGCAAAGGCAAGTGAAGCTTTTTAGAGATTAAGCTCAGTCTACTTTCCAACACAGCACCACCTGCCTACCGTCGAGAATCGTGAATGTTAGGTTTATTCTGTTGTCGTTGGCAAATGCTTCGCCCTTTCCTACTCTTTATCTCCTTTGTCTTGTGCAGTGAGTCAGATTGTTGAGATTATGTTCATTGCACTTTTCTTCCTTGGGGTTCCCCATATTCCCTAAGAAGAAGCAACTTAGGATCTCTCGGACTCATCTCAAACACGGATGCTATGCTAGAATCACCTAAGGACTGTAAAACAAAACAAAACTTGATACTCGGGTTACACTACATACCAAACCTACTCAAAATCTCTGGGAGATTAGTGTTCCTAGCAGTGTTTAAGTTCCCCAGATGATCTTCATTGCAGCAAAACTTGAGAACCACTGCTCTATAAGATGAAACGCATTGCTGTTGTAGACAACGAACTTTCCTTGATCTGCAGGTTATATTGCATACATGTTGCTGGAAATGAGCCCTTTACATTAGCATGGATTAGTTTATCAGATTAGTTGATACTTTGGCCCTAAGGGGATAAAATACTAGCTAGGCAAATTTCAGTGTTACAGCAAAGCCACCTAAGACTTGAGCAGTGGAAAAGCACAAACAAAAGTAGGTCTTGGAAAGGCGAGGAGTGATTTAGATGAAGACCAGGCAGCAGGAGACTAGAGGAACAAAAGAACAGAGTCTGGGGAAGTCCTGAAGGCTGATTTCCAAACGCTATGCAAACAGATTTTTTTAAAAAGGTAATCTCAGTGCAGGTTAAAATACTGAGAAGTGTACATTGCTGGAGAAAATGCATGTTAGAACCATGGTTTTTGGAGAACGGTTTAGCAATATCTATCAGAAGCCTTAAAAGCGTGCTTATTTTTTGACCTGTGATCCCTCTAGATAGAATTTATTGTAAGTAATGATAGCTATAAAGCCATAAAGATGGCAACATTTTACAGGATTAAAAAACTTGTTCGTCAGCACCATAAGACAAAGAAAAAAACCAAACTTGTTGAACTTGTCTAAAAGCACTGCCATTTATAATAAATGCGAAGGAACATTAAGCAACCTTTTTCTTTTTCTTCTTTTTTGTAGCGCCATTTAAAAGAATTAAAATTTAAGAACAGTCAAAGATTAAATAACGGTAAATTCATATTTGAAAATACTAGGCAGTTAAAAAATTTAGGTTGTAAAATGTTTAATGACTTGCAAAAGATTTATACTGTGTGTTAAGCAGGAAACAGCTACAGCTACAAAATAGCGTATACACTATATATCAAAACGTGTATCTGTGTTTGTGTAGAAAAAGCAGAAAGATATAATTTAAAACATGATGTTTTTTTTTTTCTGGGCCATAAGATTTTATCTTCAGTTTTTGTATTGGTATGTTCTAGATTTTCCACAATGAACATGAAGTAATAAATTACTTTAAAACTTTTTTTCTTGGCCTGGTGCAGTGGCTCACACCTGTAGTCTCAGCTCTTTGGGAGGCTTAGGCGGGTGGATCACAAGGTCAGGAGATCGAGACCATCCTGGCTTACATGGTGAAACCCCCATCTTAAAACACACACACACACACACACACACACACACACACACACACATTTTTTTATCCAGGCATGGTAGCTCATGCCTGTAATCCCAGCACCTTGAGGGGCTGTTGTGGCAAACCCCCATTAATCTCAGTAGTGAAGGCACCAGGTTGAAGAGGCTGAAGAAGATTCCTACAGCCTGCAAACAAGACATGGCTTTTGTTGTTGTTGTTATTGAGATAGAGTCTTACTCTGTCACCCAGGATGGAGTACAGTGGTGTTTTCTCTGCTCACTGCAACCTCCTCTGCCTCCTGGGTTCAAGTAATTCTCTGCCTCAGCCTCCTGAGTAGCTGGGTTGACTGCCCACCACCACCTGGCTAATTTTATTTTGTATTTTTAGTAGAGATGGGGTTTCACCATCTTGGCCAGGCTGGTCTTGAACTCCTGACCTCGTGATCTACCTGCCTCGGCCTCGCGAAGTGCTGGGATTATAGGCATGAGCCACTGCGCCCGGCCTGGATCATTTTCTAACTCACTACTGCTGATACTGCGAATCTTTTTAGTGGTATGATATAAAAGAAGTGCTGAAATTCATACCTATGCTGGGTGTTCCCGTTTCTTACACATGAGAGTGCTTTTGGACATAGTTGATCAAGGATTTTCATCTTGTCAAATGTCCCTAAATTTGTTGAGACTTAATGTCACCTCACTTGAATTCTCAGTGCATGATGTGCTTTTGGGCTGTGTGGGTGTGGTTTAAATGACAGCTCAGCTGGAAACTGCAGAACGCCAACGTGCTAACCTCTTTCAGAACAGTTTTAAACTGGAATGTTTACTAATGTCGGGTAAATTTAACTTGAAAATGTTAGTAAATAATTACTGTGCAGAAATTGTGATGACATGTATTTCTTTATGTACATTGATCACTAACCACAGTTTTTAGCTGATTTGCTAGAATTTTTCTTTAAACATGTGACAGCAGAAAGCTTTTAAGAATAGTGTCAAGGGCTTTATTGAATCAGTATGAGTTCTGACGGGTGAACAACCTGAGTTGGTCTCTGCAGGTAGACCCTATGAAACATTAAGGTCCAGTTGATTCAGCTGCCAGGTATGTAAGATAATCCCCAATCGATACTTTCCTTTTTATTTTTTCTAGCGCTTCTACAAATACAGCCCTGAACATAGAAATACCCTCATTATTTTAACGGGACATC